TNTTTTTTTTTTTTTTTTTTTTTTTTTTTTAACCATATGACCTTTAGTTACGCCTTTACTAACAAAACAGACAATATATATATTCCAAGTATTCATACACATTTGTTGCATATACACGAAATATCGAAAGAAAAATAAGGAATATAGGCCGATATATTTGTATAGTCTAATATCTGTTATTCGGATCGCGAACTATGAATAGAAGAGTTTAGATACGCGTACAGTTATTATGTGCAAAAATAAACATCATACAATAAGCATATATAAGAACCAGTCTCATGTTTGGTAAATAGTACAACAGAATAATATATATTGGAATGTGTGTACACGTGTGCATACATGTGTGTATTTGTGTATACGCACGTATTCACACGTACTTCTTTAAAAATGTGGCCAGCACATAATATACCAGTTACTAACGTATACACTAATGTTTATTTATATTTAATGTTTATTTATACAAGTTGCATTTCTATACGTATACACACACACACACACACACACACAAATGATGCAAAGATAAAGTGTATTTCTAAGAATATGTTCAGAAAGCACCCATTATCACTTATGCATCATCCCGTTCTTGTTTTACATCTGATAAGTGATAAAAAAAAAAAAAAAAAAATGGAATGCGTTCTCCGAACATATCCCGAGAAATCAAATTTCTGCAAGAATAGTAACAGATTCGAAACGAAACGATTATATTATCGGAAACAAAAAAAGATTAATATATACTTACAGACGATATCTCTTCACAACTCTCCTCAAAATTTTTCTTACTCAAATTCGTAACCAAATAACTGATTTGTGACAAAGTAAAAGACAACGAGTCCAGGTTCATAGTTCCATGAATACAACCTCGAAAGCTTCAAACGCGTTTGAAGCTTTCTTCGGTATCCACGAGTTGCCGCCGCCCCAAATACTCTCCTCCTCGGTAAAAGCATGAAAGTTACATTGGCACAATCCTATGACCAACATCGGGATTGATATTATTGAGATACTTATTTCACAGCAACGTCATGGCGAGCACAACACGAATGATGCTCACAAAAACACGCAACACCGTTTTCCCACGCACAATCCAAGTTCTCTCGGGTCTCTCACCACCACCACTACCACCACCTCTATATAAACCGTTGTGCTCTCTCGCGCTCTCTCTCTCTCTCTCTCTCTCTCTCTCACTCTTCTCACTCTCTCACCGACCTCTTTCTCTCGCTTGCTCGCTCTTTTACTCGCCGAGATCACAGATTTATATATATACACACAGAGACTGTATATGTACATACACCAATCACACACGTAATTGTTCACATCACAATAAACGTTGTCGCTGCCGGCGATGTCCGTTGATTTCCCGTTTCCTCGGATTCATCCATGATGTTTAAGAGAAAGAAAACACGTAGTTTCGGGAATCGACAATAAAAAAAAAAAACGTTTCGTGAAATGTGCGGCGGCTTCCCCAAAACGGATCCGGGAGGAGGTGACGACGCCGAGAGTGTCTTTATCTCTTTTGGAATTCCACCGAATGCTGAAAAGCAATATGGCAGTCGAAATATCACACACGTACAAATTCTCGCGGGCCAAAGTGCTGTGCGTGCGTTCTCAGATCTCAAAAAAAAAGTTATATTGAGGGCACGCGCGAGCGAAGAAATTTAACGAACGAAAATCCGCGAACCGAGCCCGAGAGTGTTTCTCGTTGATCTTCGAACGAATATCTCGTCGAGCTGTTCTTTTTCCGGCTGTTTCTCTCGCACCTTGAACTTCACCCTCTCTCGCACGAGCTTCTCCAGCGCGCAATGGCGCCCTTCTAACGACAATATTATCGTTTTTTGAACAAATTTTCTTCTCTCCGTGTGCGCACAATATACTCTCGATTATTATCGTACCTGACAATGTTGTATATTATAGCTCTCTTATGTACGCCACTTCCTTCCACAAAAAAGACGTTACACAAAAAGAGACAAGATAAAAGGACACACGTGCGATTTGGAATCTGACTAGTAGTTTTGATACAACGATGTTTCGAGAAGATGGCACTACTGAGAGCTGCCGTGATCCTGTGGCGACATCAGATGATCAGGAACATCGTCGCTTAGGCCTGGTTTATGCCGGCAAATAAGGGCGATGTCCCATTGAGCGGAAATCTATAGCGGAACGGAATGTGCGGAACCAGCTCGACCAATCGTAACCACAGAAAAAGCGAAGGAAAGAAAACGGAATGGCTGTGATTGGTCGAGCTGGTTCCGCACATTCCGTTCCGCTATATATTTCCGCTCAATGGGACATCGCCCTAAGGCCTTGTTTTGGCCTTGTTTATGCGGGTAATAACTGTTAATTTATGCCGGAATTGGGGGGGGTACAGTTCAACTATAGGATTTCAATGCTTCTGTTATATTCTGTTATGCTTATGTTAACAAACAGAAATATTAAAATCTTAGGCCCGCATAAACGAGGCCTTAAAAAAAATACATACTTCGGTTGCAGGTTGACCAATCAGATCGAGCAAGTTGCTTCGATCTGATTGGTCAATTGTTGTCAACCGTAATTTTTCATGTTCCAATCGTTTTATCTGCGGTGTAACAACAAAACGGGGACTGGCCGAATAGCGTTGCTCGGTGCGATCCAGTCCAAGTCGTTTCGACCATTCGCGTTTGATTCGGTCTGATGATCCTTTCTTTCGGATCTTGTGGATTATCAGCTGCGAACGCGTCAGAACGCGTGCATCTATCTATCGTCCAAACAATCGGTAGATAATCAGCGGTTTTGAACAATTTCCAATGTTTATATATAGTTTACTATTTTCCCGTAAAACTGAATCGTTTTTTTAATAAACGGTATTGAATTTTATATTTTATACGTATGTATGTAAGTTTTTACATACAACTGAATTAAAAATAATGATAAATACAATTGAAGTAAACATCAACAAGTACGCACGAACAGCTGATATTAGCTAATACATATGTATTTTTCTTTCAGTATGTTGTGAAACACTTCCGTGCTCACAATCGCGGAGATAATGGACTTCTGGTTCAATCTGGTCAGAAGCGCATTTCTCAGAATGTTGGAAGTGCTATGGTTCGGCAAGCGAAAGATAACAAATTCCTTGAATATATATGTGAAAACGAATACAGGAAACACACTCGCCGTCGAGTTGGATCCGAAATGGGACGTAAAAAATCTGAAAGAAATTGTCGCACCTCAGATGGGCATAGCGCCGGAAAATGTCAAGATTATATTTGCAGGTAAAGAACTGCACAATTCGACTATACTGGAGGTGAGCTTCTTGCTCCTGTGGATATGCTGCGAAAGTTTTTTTTGCTATATAATTAATGAGAAATATATGGATTGTGTGATATTGCAGGAATGTGATTTGGGACAACAGAGTATTTTACATGCGGTACGGACAATCTGTAAACCACTCAAGAGAAACAACGCCGCAAGTCCCATAGAAGAATCTACACTGGAGACGTCTGATTCGAGTAACAATGGGAGTAAACCACTTAATGAGACACTGATGGATTTGCCCTTGGCTGAATCTGATCAAAACTCATCCCTGGAAGGAGGTATAAGGATGCTAATTAATTAACAAAATGATTAATTACATACAAGTGTTAACAGACAAGTAATTGTATTACTTTTTTTCGCGTTGTTGACAGAACAGCAGGAAAACCGAGCTCATTTTTACGTGTATTGCTCAGTACCGTGTAAAAAAGTGACAACAGGAAAGCTGAGAGTCAAATGTGCGAGATGCGGCAGTGGCGCTGTTACTGTCGACAGAGATCCTCAATGTTGGCCGGATGTGTTACTCCCGAAAAGAATAACCGTACATTGTGAGAACGATTCTTGTCCCTCGTCTTCGAACTTCCTCAGCGAGGAGACAGAATCTCAAATTTGTTTTGCCAACTTTTATTTCAAATGCGCGGAACATCTCAGTTTGGGAGAAAGCGACGAGGCTGTACCTCTTTATCTCATAAAGACCAACTTGAAAAACGTACCTTGTTTAGCGTGTACAGATGTCAGGTATTTAAAATTAAAACAACGATACAGCACAAGAACGAAGATTTTTCTTTACAAATTAACGTATGTGTTGCATTTTTTTTTTTATATTTGAAAGAGAAACTGTATTGGTATTTTCTTGCAAAGCTGGTCATGTAACTTGTCTCGATTGCTTTCGCGATTATTGCGCAATTCGCTTGCAAGAACGACGATTTGAATTCGATAGTGATGAGGGATATTACACGTTACCGTGTCCGGCTGGATGCCCCGATTCTTTTATTCGCGAGGTTCATCATTTTCATCTTCTCAGCGCAGAACAGGTATCTGCAATATCGAGCAGTTATTTTAGTGTTATTTAAAGTTTTTTAACAATCATTTTTAATATGTAGTATGAGAGATATCAAAGATTTAGTACTGAAGAATACGTTCTGCAAGCTGGCGGTCTACTGTGTCCGCAACCGAACTGTGGGATGGGTATCATACCACCAGATATACAAGATGACAAAGATTGTCGTAGGATACAGTGCATAGGCGGATGCGGTGTAAGTTATTTTCAAATAAAGCATTTTTTTTTTTTATAGTAACAAAGTTACGTGTTATATTTTTTACATTAGACCTTTTACAATTTTTCTGTGTTACGTAGTCAAATATATCTCTAATCAGTATTAAGTTAATCGAACGAATATACTGTCTAATCTAATCTATGTTTTCAGTATGTTTTTTGCAGACTTTGTTTGCAAGGTTATCATGTGGGAGAATGTGAATCGCAAACATCGGAAGCATCTACAAGCATCCTTTCTTCCAGTTATTATTCGGTGGATCCTCTGAATGCAAATAAAGTTAGTTGAAATGAATATTTATGTTGTAAAAAATTATTGTTTTTTCGTCAATTGACTTATCGTTTATAAATTTTGTAGGCTACATGGGACGAAGCTAGCAAAAAGACAATTCAAATTTGTACAAAACCTTGTCCGAAATGCAGGACTCCTACTGAAAAAGACGGTATGATTGCAAGGATTAAGGTTTTTTTTTTTTTTTTATTTGGAAAATAAGTTTTTAATGAAGTTGTTACAAAAAAAAACTGATAAGTAGTTTTCGCGTGATTAAAATTCAATAGTAAGTAGTTGTGTGAGATTTGTGCGGTATTAAACATGTGTGTGTGTGATTTTTAAAAATATCTACAGTTTTATACCCAGTGACACATGTATTTAGAAAAAAAAAAAAAAATAGTTTGCGCCTCTTCACAAATTTACAAACATCTTCAATTGTTTTTTCTCTCTTTTGAAAGGAGGTTGCATGCACATGGTGTGCACAAGAGCAGGATGTGGTTATCATTGGTGCTGGGTCTGCCAAACGGAATGGACTAGAGAATGTATGGGTAATCATTGGTTTGGATAATATATCGAAGCCGTTTATGTATCGATATACATAATATAAATTGAAAGTTACTCGAAAATTATACACGTGTTTCCGCAATGTGGAAACACATTTAAATAAAAATCAACATTTGGCAGTTTATTTTATTTTTATTATAAAGCGATATTACAGTGATATTCTAGTGTTATTCTATTTTTTACATATACTTATATATATATTAAAGTGATGTTATTTGTAGTGATGTTTTTTGTATATTACTGTACAAAAAAAGAATTATCAATATACGCGGCCTTGGCGGGGTCACTGACCTCGGCCGCGCGGCCTTGGTGGAGGGGAGGGTCACTGACCTCGGCCGGTCACGTGATTACGGTATATATATATATATAAATAAATAAATAAATAAATATATACTATCTGTCATCGCGGTGACAGGTTGTGTTCACTGACAACACGTTAAATAAAAATAACAATAGCGTGCGCGTAGCGCGCGCCTGTGTTGTGCTAGTATATTGATATATTGTTATATTTCACATGTGTAAATATAAATAGTTTTTTCTATTAGTGACTTTTACGTAGAAGTGGTTATAATTGTTATTTTATTATTATTTTTAATATAGTTCGTTTAATACATGTTAAAATTATTCAGAAAAAAAAGTGCAAAGAGACAGTAAGAGAAGTCAGATGGCGTTGCTGTCAAGTTTTAATTCACATATGTGAACGTAGTTTGTTTACACGTTTTCGTTACTGTGGTCAATTCTGGGGATTTTGTGACAGGGACTTGCATTCATTGGAACCAGCCTAAAGAGTTAGATCTATTGTTTGTAATTTTTAATAAACTTAAGATTGTAAAGTGGCTAAACAATATAAATAATTACATGAGTTTTACTTAAGTAGTAATCTTTTGTTTATAAAAAAAAGAAATATGACTACCGTACCACCTGTCAAACCACCGCGAGGAATCAAACCGACCAAGGAAACGGTAAGTAAAATTTTTACATCCGTGAATTATACCTTTTTGGGTTAGATTTCTTTAAAAATCAACATGTTTTTGTTTTATTATACTTGCGCAGATTATTTATGTTTATTATATACGTTTGTTTTTCTTTACAGAGCGGTTTATTGATCTCTGTCATCCGCGCTCTGTCAGCAAGTGAAACAAATGAGCAACGTGAGATCGAAAAAGCTAAATTGGAAAAAGAATACAAACGAAGCGATCAGCGATTGGAAGAATTGGTTTCCGCTCATGATCAGGATCTTATGGAAGTTATGCGGGTGAGTTATGGATATTCTCAAGTGACTGATACGTGAGAAATAAATTTTTTACTGCTGTGTTACATGGTTTGTGTGTGTTGATACGTACAGATTATTCTTCTTTCACCCTCAGATATTCAGTGAACTGTCCGAAAAGGTGACATCGTCGCGAGAAAAAATTCACGCGGTAAAAGAGAATCTGAATGCTTGCAAACAATTATTAAGATGTAAACGAGAAGAACTGTTGAATTTGTGGCTGGAAGGAATAGAACATAAACAAGTTTTGCATCTTCTGAAGGATGTGTAAGCGATACGGTTGTGCGTTTTTCAGAAATTGCGAAGCAATTTCATATTCTTTACACTTCGATTAATTTTTAGGTCTTCGTCTTCGTGCGGGCGTATATTACCTTTAACAGTACCTGAGTCATCGCCATCAATTCACGAGCTTTCAGAGCAATAAAAGTTTTATATATCACCATACTTTGTATATATTGTTATATGTATAAAATAAATTATTGAGTCAAGTAACTTGCCAAGTTCTAGATTTACGTGTGAGAGGTTGTATTGTTTTTTGTGCAAAATAAAAAACAAATTTTTTATTCTATGGACTGAGCAAAATAGATATTCTGTATGTATGGATGAAGAATTTACATAAGAGTATTTCTTATGGGTTTTCCTTGCTTTTTTTTAAACATGTATTTATTTTTGTAAATATCTTTTAGACATCTATATAATCTACTTATATATACACTTTTTCATCTTTGAATCTGGCAGGACATTTAAAAAAAAAAAGTTTTGACTTGAATTCTCCATACGTGCGAGCACTCTGCGAGATGATTTGATTGGCTGACGTGGCGTGGCGCAAGTTACGCCACGCATAGAAAAGCAGCTTTAGTTTTTCATTCAATTTTCTACCGTGTGGATGTGTGTGTGTGTGCCGAGAGCGTCGTAACTACGAAAGGGAGACGAGAGGGTGATCGCTCTGATAATACACAAAACTCTGTTCACGTGTTCACGTATTTGTGATTGTTTATCACTATTACAGTTGAACCAAATGATATACAGAATGTCGTCATAAATGTGTTCTGATACAAAAATAAAAAAAGTTTAATCGAATTGTTTAACTATCTCAGCAAAATGTCGATTGGTACGTAGAATTATATTTGTATTAAAAGAAACTATAAGTAGTTTATAAAATAAATTTATAGTTGATGGTGAGTCCTTTTTTATTTATTATGTTTTTATAAAATTTCAGAAATAGAAACAAGCTTGCTTGTTATAGTGCTGGATGTGAATCCGATACAACGAATAGTTAAACAAGAAACGAGAATACTGTCGCAGTGTCTGGATTCCACCATCATTTTCGCGAATGCTCATCTCATGCAATCGTCCAACAATCAATTGGCTATAATGGCTTGTCACGGACACAATGCCAGATTTCTCTATCCGTGTGAGAACATGGCAGAAATAAGACAAATAGACGGTCAATATGAAAAGTTCACAATGGTAGAACGCACGGTGCGCCAGCGGTTACAACAAGTTGTATATGACATTCCCATGGATGTTCCATTGAACACGGAGAGTCTTATTTCTGGCGCGCTTAGTATGGCATTGTGTTACATCAGTCGATTAGATCGCGACAAGATCGCAGGCCAGAAGCTACATCCCAGAATACTGGTGATCACGGCTAGTAATGATTCGGCCACACAGTACATGAACTATATGAACATATTCTTCACCGCTCAGAGAATGGTTTGTTGCTCAGATACGTAAGCACAAACGAACACTAAATTATCAGCAATCGAAACGAAATGTATTATTGTGCCTATATGTTTTAGAATGTTATACTGGATGTATGCAGTTTAGATCAAGAGCTGACTCTCCTGCAACAGGGTTGCGACATTACTGGCGGCAATTATCTGAAAGTACCGCAACTTGCTGGATTGTTGCAGTATTTATTGGTACATTGTGTGCTTCTACGTTTGTAATAACAAAAGGCAATTATTCTACTATGAGCCGTTGATAAAAATGGTTTTTTTTTTTAATAATTTTTAGTGGGTCTTTCTGCCAGACCCGAGTGTCAGATCAAAATTAGTACTTCCGCCACCGGTGAAAGTGGACTATAGAGCGGCGTGCTTCTGTCATCAGGAACTTATCGACATTGGATATGTTTGTTCTATATGTTTATCAAGTGAGTACTTCTGTGAGAGTGTACAATTGAGCTATTTTTTGTAATATCAAATATTACATACACTGTACTGACATGTAAATTAATTTTTACAGTTTTCTGTAAATTTAGTCCAATATGCACAACTTGTCTGTAAGTGTTTTTTTGTATATATATTTTTAATTGCATATATTCCTTGTATATTGTGTGTGTATTTAACTAATTATTATTACTCTTTAAGCACGGTGTTCAAGCCAGGACCCATACCAATGAAGAAGAAGAAAAAAAGAACGTAACGGTATCTAATATTAATTTCACGAAATATTTCTCATACGGGTATACACATATGTATTATTAATTCTGTAATTAAATCACACAAGTAAAAAACAAAAAAAAAATTGTTCTCACACGTAAACGGAAGAAACACAAATATATATTTGTATACGAAATTTATGCTTTATTTGTAATGTAAACTATTTAAGATTAAACTTATAGTGACGACAATTCTATCTTTGCTGTATGTTGTAATCCACTTGTAATTTGCACAACTTCTACGTTGTGACGCGTTGTGTGGACGAATGTTGTTGGGACGGCACGTAACCGATGCGCTCTTGAATCTCGCTCTGGGGAACCTTGCCGCCCCACGTCGACAGACTCACGGAGGCCGACGATTTCCTTTCGGCGTCTTTTTTAGCTTCGAGCGCTTTTTTTATTTCTTCGTACTCCTTCAGATCCTCGAGTCGCATCTCGATACGCGTTGGACTTCGTCGTATCATCTTACTGAAAAAAAAAAACTGTTTTTTTTTTATCTTCAAATCTTCTTCAAAATTATTCGAACGTCGAGAAAATAAAATTAAAAGTTCGAGTGTACAAGTTTACGTGCGAAAAAAATTGGATTTTTTTTTTTACAAAAAGTAATTTTTTTTCCAAGGAGTTTTAAATCATTGAACTTTGTGTGCGTGAAAAAAAAATCTAGAAAATAAACAAGATAACGAAAAATAAACCTCCGATCGTTTTGGTTTATCTTTTTTTGTCTAACGCAATAAAAAAAAAAAAGCATCAAGAGAGAGTCTCCCGTTGATCGCGCTCTTCCGAACTACGTCCCTGCCCTCGTCGCCCAAGATGGCGAGATACTATGCTCCAAATAAATATCAAATCAAGCTATGCACGTCATTCTAATCGCATTGTTTCTTCTATCTGACTTTCGCAACGACGTGAATCGCGCTCTTTTCTTTTTAGAAATGTCACGGGATAATCACGATTGAGAGCGCGCGAAAGAGTTCGAAAAAACGTTCCGGAAATGTGACAAAGGACGGGTTGGACGCGCGTGTAAGCACGCGTTCGTTTCAGGCAGCGCGATTTTCTCGAATTTTACGGAAAACTGTGCGATTAGCCGGCCCACGAGCACCGAACACTAGTCATATACATTACGTCGTAAGCGAACTGCAACACGGGAGGATGCTCTACCTTGAAGATTACGTTGAAAGTGCGTACGAAAAGTATCACGCTCGACTCGTCCGCGGGATCCTAACCTCTAATCGCAACGCACGATTAACCTAGAAGACGCTCGGGCCTGTTTGCTCGATCTCGGAAACGATGCAGCCATTTTTGTTTATATTTCGCGGATCGCGGTCCGCGCGATCCTCTCTCGCGTCGATTTTTCAACGCGATCGCGATTGTCATTAAAAAATGATAGCAAATCTTCATCTTTCACTTAACTTCAAACCACGAGGTTGGGGTACACACATTGATGTGTGTACCCTGACACACATGTTACATGTTGGCACAAAAGATAATAAAAAAAAATAATTTATTAAAACTCTCAAGCTTGTAATGAATGACACGAATTTCATTTCTCATGTCCTTTGAAACGATTTGAAGTTTTTTCTCTTTGTATGTTGTAATGCGCGGTAAAAAGGAACACTTGGTTTTATAACAATCTCAATATTTGAGATGTTTAAAAAAAAAAAAAATAATAATAGGATCTTTGTGTTAAGAAAAACTAAGTTGATGATTGTTGTATTAATATATATTTTCTTTATGGTTTCAGTGATTGAACACCTTCCTCAAGAACTTAGGGATAGATTCACAGAAATGAGAGAGATGGATCTAGGTGTACAAAGTACATGCAGTTTGAAATAAATAGATAAGAGTAATTTAAGATAGAACATACTGTGCGTGATGAAAGAAAGTAACAAACTCTTATAATTATTTTTTAGATTCTATGGATAGTTTGGAAAAGAAGGTAAAGATGTTCTTTTCCAATGCCAAAAAGATGAAACCCAGTGAAAAAGAGGCCGAGTATGAAGCAATTAGAAGAGAATATTACAAGACTTTGGAGGACGCGGATGAAAAGGTGCAATTAGCCAATCAGATGTATGATCTGGTTGAAAGGTACCTGAGAAGGCTCGATCATGAGCTGCATAAGTTTAAGATGGAATTGGAGGCTGACAATAAGGGCATCACCGAAATTCTGGAGAAGAGATCTTTAGAGCTGGATCAGCCGCCTACCAATAGTAGCCAAAAGGAAAATCGTTATAGTTTCACAACCAGCAGGTCGCGAGACAATCACAGTCATTGTAAGAGAGAGAGAGAGTTTAACATCTAAAAACATTTATTGAGATTCCGAACAAACGACGGAAATTCAATTGATGGTAATTCTCTTTGATGTCGTTTTTAAATTTCAGCTCGGGCGGAGAAACGACGGGACTCCAATGCATCTTCCACGTCGGTCGAGAAAAGACTGGCGATCGAGAAGCTACCGACGGCGACGAGTTTGCCGGAGTCACGACCGGCGTCGGCAAATTCCGGTCCTATTATCGCGGCCAGCAATGTTACACCAGCACCGACGGCAATCGCCAATTCTGTAGGTTCGGTATGCTACAATCTCGGTCACATCGGTGCCGGGGGTACGGCCATCGCGGCGGCCGCGTCACAAGCGATCGCGGCCACGCAGTCGATGCAGCAAGGCAGACGCTCCGCTAGTCTGAAGGCCAGTTACGAAGCCATTAATACAGGCGGCGTGCACGCCGCAGAATTCAGCAGAGAGTTGGCCGGTGCGGCGCAAACCGCCATCGCGGCTATTCAGGAGACCACAAAGAAACACAAAAAGTATATCGGATATTTTTTTTTTTTTTTATAATAAATATCTAATAAAAACGATCGTACGAAGTTGAATATTTCGAAAGAAAATATCTATAAAGTAGAAGAATACCAAGATTTTGTTTTTAATTTGCAAAAAAATTTTTGTTTCTTGATTATTTGACGTAAACGTTTCAATTTTGAATGATAGGAAAGTAACAGCCACGGTGCCGAGTTCGAGTGTAATCACGGCTGCGGTCCAGCAACCGGTGTCTCCTCCGGTGGTGACTACAACCACACAAGTGATAGACGCAGACAATCCAGATTGGACGTACGATCCCAACGAGCCGCGTTATTGCACGTGCAATCAAGTGTCGTACGGTGATATGGTTGCGTGCGATAACTCGGATGTAAGACTCATCGATATCTTTTCAGGATATGTCATGACGCGTACAAGCGATAAACTTATGATAATCGTTTTTAGTGTCCATTTGAATGGTTCCATTATCCTTGCGTGAATATCACCGCGCCACCGAAAGGAAAGTGGTATTGCCCTCAGTGCACGTCCTCGATGAAGAGACGCGGAGGGCGGAAGAATTGATTAGACAGGAAGAAAGAGAACGAGTTGCAAATCTATTACATTGACCATGTCGAGAAAGCATCGTTGCTACTACCTCTTAGACGCTGTCCGTCGTGTATCGACTTATTAGTTAGAAAGTCCGTTGTTTGTTCTGGTTTTCTACGACTTTTTCCGAGTGTATTGAGTTTGCGAGTCGTCGTATATTGCTGTTGAATATTGAACGAAGAACGATCTAATGTGGGTTCCGTACTTTTGGAAGACAAAATGTACAAGAAAAACGAATGAGACTTGAATTAGCGATAATAAATTTTTTTTTTAATTGAGAATTCAGGCTCTTGGTGAAGATAATCAAGAGAGAGAGAGAGAAAGAGAGAGAGAGAGAGTTGATATTAAATACTTTTTCTCTCCCGCCAAGTAATAATTAACTAATTATATAAATACTGTGAAGTGAGCTTTCACTTTATTTAAAATTCCGCTGAAAATAAAGAATTTATTTCTTTCATAAAAGAAATAATAATTAAACACGTTTGAAAACTGATTTTTTTTCGAAAAAAAAAGAATTACTTCCGTATGAATAAAAATTTTGAGAATACTACTTTTAAAAACAGAACTTGTAGCAAATTGATGTACAAATAAACTATGCAGAAGCAATGAGGATGAACAACACTCTTATCTTGATTAATTGATCCCGTCAACGATCTTGTCGTTTTTCTAAAACAGGGTTTATCGTAAAAATAAAAAAAATATAACAACGTACTAAATTTTATAATATAATAAATTTTATATTTTATTAATATTACATTTTCTCTTATAAGTTGCTCATTTAAAAATCGTGAAATTATTGAATTTTTTAAGCGCTAAGATATGAACAACGTGACAAGATTCAATTGTTTATTGACGTGGTAATTGTTCGTATTGCTATATTTTTTGTCTTGCGACTTACATGTGTAGCAAAATGTATTACTATACATGGCAGCATTTTCATAAATTTTCAAACAACTTTGTCATAAATTAAAAAAAAACAAGATTTTAAGAATGACAATCAAGTAACGTGTCAGTGTTTTAACGTTACTCTGCGGAAAAAAAAAAAAAAAAAAAAAACATTCTTGCAGCACTTGGCGAACACAAGGAACTTATAAGATGAGGTAAGACGCTCGTCATAAAAAATGGCACTTATTGACTGATTATTAACCAACACTTAGTGAAACAAACTCTTATAGCTACGGTATTCGATTGAGTGACTATCTCGATAAAGCACCAATCCGTATTGTCAACGTTACGTTATTTGTTGCTCCTAAGTATATAACGCGTTACATTCGAGTATTCTTAATAAGTATTGTATTTGCGCATCTCGACGGAATTTTCTCTTGTTAGAACCCTGTTGTAGCATTCAAAATTTTAAGAATCTCCAAATCATACAAGAGAAAAGTTGATAAATTTCGATAAAAGAGTTCAAGGAAATTTTTTCACTTAACACTTGTTTTTTTTGTTTTCTTTTTTGTCATCGATTCTGATCCAGCAGAAATATTCACGTGTGCGTTAATTGAAATAACGATTGATATTTACAAAAAAAAAAAAAAAAAATGGACTACATACCGCTTACTCGAGAACGTTTCGTGACACACTAGAATCTTTCACGCGCAACATTATAAACCTTTATTAAAATACAGATACGTCGACAGTTTACCGCTCTCGCTGTTCTTCTTCAGCAGTTCGTAGTTTTCCGGTTCCCAGCGCTCTAGAGTAGTCGCCCTGATTGAACTGCAACGCACAAACAATGCGACGTAAACGTGATGATGCGAGAAATACATTTTCAAATCAAATAGGTGAGAAATTTTTATCTTTTTACCAATTTTGCGGAAACAGCGCGCACGCTGTCGGCACCATAAACGACAGTCTGTAAGAAGATGTTAAATGTTCGTGTATCTGATTCATTGTAACATGTAACAACTGAAGATGAAAAGAGGAGAGAGTACTCACGAAATTCCGCACATTAGAATTTGTATCGGCGCGTGCAGAGGTTTGATTTTTTGCATCCACGCGTATTTCTCCAATCTCTCCATTATAGGCGGTAGGATGACTGGAGAAATTAATCATTTTTTGGTTTTTTTTTTTTAATTTAATGCCACCGAGATTTTAGAAACATAAATTGATGAAAAAGAATAAATTTGTTTAAATGTACGTACGCATGCCGGGAGCACACATGACGATACGTGAAATGACGACCTGACTAATGCCTTTCACAGCCGCGAGCTGCAGTTTGTGTTTGTAACAATTATTGTAAAATTACACTGTGAAAATGTAAAATGTGCAGCGAGACAAGAGCTGTGCTCGAAAAAATTTTACCTTTGATTTCGTTACTTTTTTGCCGTCCTCGTCAACAACGTCCACTCCGTTTCTGATTTCGTTCTGTCTCATGAGAGGGATGTTTACGCAATTAGCGGCCGCTACTGCGGCGAACGGAACGTACCTCTGAAATTCAGTTTTTTCTCGTGGAAAACAAATTTTTTTTTTTTTCATTATACGTAATGTCGAAACGAGTCAGAAATTTTTCATCTTGAATGATTTACAAGTTGTAAAAAGAAGAAAATATACAATATTTCCGCAACACTTACGGCCATTAAAGGACTCGCGCGTTTTTGCCAGAACGATTTACATCCGATCGCGGTTATCATAGCCGCGGAGGTAGCGCTAACGTAAGCTACACCCAATTGGGTGGTGGTCACAGGACTGTTCGCATTTCTGTTGGTGTAATTAACGAGCGCGTTAAAGGACTGATTGACCCACTGCCAGAAAACCACCGCTTGCGTCGTCCTAAATTAATAAATCGAAGGATGCGAGTGTGAAGGGTTTGTAAAATAATTACAAAGGAGAGAAGAAAATTCCATTTCTCGGTAGAGTGATAACACACATTCTGCAAAAACTACCTGTAGAACTGGAGCATGGCGCCGGTGATGGCCATTCCTCCCGGCACCTGAAAGGACATTCTACCGAAGACGTTTTGCAGCTCGCCGGTGTCGGGATGAAAAGACGACTCGTACAGTTTCTTCGCGTAGACGATTTGATCTCTGGTTGTGCCGGCTGGCTCTTTGCCAAGCCTACAAAGTCGGATACATCAAACGCGCGTGTAATATTTTTTTGCATCATCACGAAAAAATTTTTATTGATTCTCTTGTACGTGCAAATTTGTTATCGCGCTACAGAAATCGGGATCTTTCGTACGCGCGAACTTTACCATTTTTATTTTATTTAAAAAAAAAAATCAGTATCCTGTTTAATTTTTGCAATTTCATACAATGTCATCTATATTTAGTGATCATTACCTGTACTGCTCGCATAACTCCTTGGCAGCTAATAGTTCCGGCTCGCGCACGACGCACGTGCGAAAGTCGGTCATCCACGCGAAGTACTTCCATCTTCCGACGAAGGTGTTGAGATCCCAAAGGGGTTTGTCTATGTCCAGCCTGTCGTGTGCCATCGCGTCGAATCGGGAAATTCTTTCGACATAGATTTATAATTAAAAAAAGAGTCGCTTAAGTTAAAAAAATGAATAATTTGCGATATTGTTTTATTATATTCGTTTATATAAATTTAATGTCAATTATTATGAATTACGCGAGAACATTTCGGATTCGCGCGCGTTATAAACAACGTACGCACAGAGTGATATTTTAAGACATGAGAGATGCGTGCGAGAGATATCTCGAATGTGTTTTACACGCGTGAGCGCGCGGAGAGAGAGACGTGCAACATTGTCTTCGTTAAAAAAAAAGAAAACGAAGTTCAGTCCAAGCAAATGGAAATAAATAATACATTGTTTCGGAAACGCTTTTGCGCGCGTGAAATAATAGCGCGCATTATTTTCAACGCGCGCGTGCGCGAATAACAACCAAGTCTCGCTCTCTTTGACGAGATATTATGTAATATGTGTATTATCCTCTCGACACTCGGAAAGCAGCGATAACACTTATGGAAACAAAAAAAAGATAAAGAAAAACCAAATGCAATAGTGTGTTATTGATAATAAATGCAAAGAGTTTTCCTTTAACTCGATTTTAACGGAGAACATACAAATCTCCGTGAGATTTGTTTCAACAACAAGTGCGCCACTCTGAAGAGCAATTTTCCGCAATTTTTCTCCCTCATTACAAATATATTGCGAGTCTTCTAAGTAGATTTTACTCCGTTGTGTTTTTACGTCAGAAACTTGCTTTTTTTTTTTTGTATCTTTACAAGTGCGTGCAGATTTATCTAACTATCTCGAACTATCGATAATCGAGAGAGTCGAGTGGAATTTTTACATTTGCGTGCACTCTGCAACGCAGTAAGATGTGACGTTATATTGTTGTTATTATTATTATTCGGACTTTAGATTATTGCAATATAAATCCGATAGTAGTAAGTGTGAGTTGCGCGCGATTCAATATATTTTGCATATTATTGCGCGAATAGGGAGGGTAAACGTGCAGTAAAAATAAATATTATCAAAAAAACATTCTGCGTCACGGACCGTTGTTGATAACAAAAAAAAAAAAAACAAAGAACACGCTTATCCGTCGATTTCGCGATGACGTTAGAACCTGTTCGCGGTGTCACAATCGCAGAATCAATATTAATAAACATTGTGTCGCGTTACTATCGATGTTACGCGCCCGTTCGAGTGCGTCACGCGTTTCGAACGCAAGCACGAGATCGCGCACGAGCGTATCAACCATCTCGCAAAATTTTTGGAAATCACTTGCGAACTTCTCGGAAAAAATTGGTTTTTTAAACTTGATATCGTTTTCCTCGTCTGTTTTAATTAATCCCATTGTTTCGACATTCTTTCGGCATTATCGATCGATCCAAGAATCTGCGTCATCTCTTCTCGTTTTATCTTCGGACGCGAGAGGACTTTAAATTATCATTCCTCGAACTGTCAAAAAAAAAAAACAAACGTCACTCTTACGTATGAGCGTGACTTAATGAAATGCACGCGCGTTGTCAATACTCGAGGATTCGAGATCATCGCATCACTTATCCTTCTCTCTCTCTTTCTTATAAAACACTGGTGTTATTACAATCGATATCGACCTAACACTTTTTTCTTTCAGAAGCTGCGATCAAAGGACGACCCACTTGCACCTACTCGCACCTTCGTTGCTTCGTGAAGTCGCGTTTTGTCGGATCGAATCAGAAAAAAACAAAATTTCTATTTTTTCTTTTCTTTATACTTAATACGCACCTCTGCAACATAAACACACACAGAAGAAGAAAAAAGGATCTCCAGCCAGCTACACCGATCGAGTGTACATTTCGCCAGTAAGGACCGCGACACGACCATCCATTCATCCGGTCCTTTCGCGGTCCGCTCGCGGCGATTCTTTGTCTTACACCGCGTTACGTCTAAATTTTATGCCACGCTTTGCGCATTAAAATGTTAATCCATCGCACGCATCAACTTACCCGGTCACTTTACGCGTTCTTTTGCTCCTGGAGCTGCGCTCCTCGGCCGCTCCGTTTTGACAGCGACCGGACCAAGAGAGAGTGCGAGGGTGCGAAACGTCAAACCTAGAACATACCGCAAGCAGCGACGTTTCTTCTTACTACGTTACTGGGCCACCGGCAAAATGCACCTAGCAATAGGCGGGAAAAGGACTGAGGCCACGCACGAGACAAGGGAGTGACACACTAGACCACGTTTACATGACACCTCTCAACCAACAATGTTGCAACTTTATTGCGAGATAACGCGTCGATACGGAAAAAACAATTGTATATGAAGTATCTTTGGCGTTAAAGAAACGTTATTTACACAGATAAACAATTTTACGGAGATATAGGAATTGATAAAGTTTTTTTTTTCCACATCCACGACATGAGTACCAACACTGTTGGGTAAGGAAACCGAGGTAAGGAAAAATGCAGACAGAGAGAGAGAGAGAGAGTAAGAGATAATCGACCGATTTCGTCGGAATGACCAATCGCGAATGAAGTGACACAGGAAAGCGCCAGATGTCGCTCTCTGTACCAGAGGCACTAGCGTCGAATCCTCAATATGGCGACGCCCATTCAACGACCACTGTTCTTCGTTCAAAATACGGAATTTCGTGTACAAAGAACCACGTGAGTTTTCGCCAGGAGTGGCGAAAACGTTTCGTATCGTCTGTTTGCGTCCGAATTTATTTACTTCATTTATATAGCCGAAATCGGCTCGTACGAGCGAGAGGAAGAAGAGAGAGAGAGCGTCGAATCTCTTGACGGTTCGCCATTTTTCTTAGCGAACCGAGTCCAACCTGACCTGACCCGAGAGAGATTAGCGTTTCCGACTGTCTCTCCCCGCTCCTTACCGTCACGCTGCCTCTTTCCCTCCTCCTCCCTCCCACCACAACCGTCCTGACGTTAGAGCTTCGCCGCCCGCCGCTTCTCACGCGGCCACCGTCGCGCACACACGGCCACGCTGTCGTTCCTCGCGTCATCCGGCTTGGGCCGAGCTGGAGAGAGACGGAAATACTGAAAAAGGGAAAAAGACGGGGGAACAAAGGGGGCGGTGCGTCGCGGCGCGGCGCACACGAAACCCGACGGCGATACGAGACGAGGAGCCGCTCCTTGCGCTCGCGCTCGGCTCTGATCGTAGCGGAGCGGAGCGGTGGCAAAGGCCCGTACCATACACCAAATCACACCACACACCATCAGCTTTGGCTCGTTTGCACGCTCGCTCGCAATAAACTCTAAACTCGAGGCAAGATGGCGGCCGCGGCGGCGGAAGCCCCGTCCGCGCACCTCGCGTTCACCACGGGTGACAAGATCCTCGTGACCGTCGAAACTGCGCTGTCCGACATCCTCGTGGTGTCCTTTGTCCACGGTGCCAAGTGCTTCCAAGGTGCTCTCCTCGACGCCACTAAGAGGTAAGGAAGAGAAAGAGAAAAGGGACACACACACATAGAGAGAAAGAGAGAGAGAATGTGATGAAGGAGAGACCTCGTGTCATGACTTGTCTTCTTCTTTTTTTTTCACATTTTATTTTGCTCCTTAAATTGTTAAGATCACCCCGTCCAGGATCAATGGCTAGATTACTTTCACTTTTGTTGCTTTTGGAAAAGATCCCAAAAGTGTTCTTAGACTTGGATCACAAAAGCTCGGAGAGGTTTCCGACGGCTAGATTTCAACGGAGCGCTCACGTAGACACTGGCTGATTCATCAATCCGATGATCCTTTATTCAATCGACGAGATCAAGTTTCACGGAAGATAATGAACGCAATGAATGCTCGTCCTTGGAAAATCAAATTTTCATCGGATCGCAGTTTCTCCAATGAATTGGGATGAGGTGGAAAAAAGTTCTTAGATCTTGATAGTTTCTCTCCGACGTTTGAAAGATCTTGAAACAAAGCGTGTGTGCGCCTTCGCGCACACATTCGGTCGATTTCGAAAAGGATGATCTCCAAAGTTGAGAAATTTTCGCTTCATTTCATGTGAGATCTTTGACGGAGTTGAAATTTCTCAACTTGCTTCTGAATCTATCTCGAACGGACGCGTGGAAACTTCCTAAAAAGAAATGTGCGTTCCGACACGCGCGTGAAGGATCTCGATAATAAATTTATAGAACGTTTTTTTGATGCGTTTTTTTTTTTTTCATCATCAGAAATGAAGCGACCGCAACAAGACGGAGCGCGGAGAAGCGCGTTCGGCGGAACAGATATTAATGACTAGGCTCTTTTCTGTCTCTTCTTGCGCGTAGGTTGTTGTTTCCTTCTCTTTGTCTCTCGGTACTTATTTTAGAACACACACGATGTGTCCCACGAGTTTAAGAATAATCATATTTGAGGGCGATATTATATTTTCTTGAGGAATTATCACATCTCTTCCGTTTTGCTCTTGTTCCCGATCTTGTGTTTCAGAGACCGTAAATTATATCCATGTCTAGACGTTTAGAGATAAGAACGTGTGTGTACGCAAATGTGTTTTAGATACGCAAATGGCGAACAATTGGGAAAACAATCAAAATTTTTGACGATGCAAAAGTTAATGACAAAACGCGCCGTCGATGATCAGTGTGACGACGCACGTAACGTCATCCGACGGCGCGCGACGGCCCGTCGCTTTTTTTTTTGTTTTACAAGCTCGCACGCAAAGAAAACGTTTTCTCTACGAAACTCGGATTTTCGAAAGCTTCGCGATAATATTGCTTCGATAAAAATTTCGCAAATTCTTGGACGAGAGAATTCGCGTACGGAAGGAATTCGGCGTTTCCGGATTTTTCTTTAAATTTTACATAAAAATTTCACCTCGCGTCGCAGTTGTCGGCGAAAAGGAATATCTTGTCTTCCACTCTTCCGTCTTTTTTACCATTTACATATGCATATTATGTATTTGTATTTACACCTTGCTCGATCGAAGATCGTTGATTCTTCGATGAATGTTCCTCGTTGCAGTGAATTATTGTCGACTCTTTCAATTCGCGCGACATTGTCATGTTTAAGTAGCAAATCAGATTATTTTTTGAAAAACAGTTTTTGTGCGGAATCAATGGGCGAGGACACGCATGACGTTATTATGTAAAATTTAGTCTGTGTCATATGTGTAATAACAGAAAGCAATTGAAGTAATTAAAGTTATTTGAAGTACAAGTGAGAGAAAATTTCGTAAATGAGTAAATTTGGAGATAAAACTAAAAGGAGAGGAGAGAGGAAAATTTTTGTAAACGCCCAGTATGTACTAAGAAGACTTCGGTGATGACTCATACGCTCGCACACACACACAGTCAACGTCACCTTTGTCGATACAGTCGCTGCTGATTTCTCTGATATGAAAGTAGTCATTTTGATTATTGGGAAATCAAAGTACAGCGTTGGAACTGATTGAATAACGTTACGCAGCCTTTGATCAATCGGAAAGTTTTGATAAAGACGAGCTCTTACGCACAATGACAGAAAAATTGAAAAGTTTTCGAACTGAATTTACTCACTATTTTATAAATCGAGTTTATATACATACACATACGCAAAAGAGAAAGAGAGAGAGAGATAATATCCAAAACTACTAACATCTAAAATTCTATTGATTGAAAAAACTATCGCTACTACTTTTCGGCCAGTCAATTAATTTCTCTTTTGTCATCATTTAGGTACGTGCAGTCGTCAGTTTTTTTTTTTTTTTTTTTTTTTTTTTTTTGTGATCGTTCACTTCGGTCGAACCCTTCAAATTATTGATGGGTTTTAATTTTGACGAGATTTCAAATATTTTTTAGCATCGGCTTTTGCGACGGTCAATTACGAGTGTCTGTCTATTCGCGCGATCATATTTCGTTAAATTCGAGTAGCAGTTTTTGGTCGTGACGATATAGCTGCTTTTTCTTGTCCGGGCGGCGGGTTTTTTTTTTTCTTTCCTTAAGCGCACACACATCGCACAGCCGGGGTTGGCTCTGCCCCGTGAACCCAGAGCTGTGCTCTTCGCTGTGGTCGAACAGCTGTTGCCCGTTTTCTTACCCCGCGCCCTCGGTTTTCTTGCTCAAGTCTCGGGCTCGGCCATTGGCCGCCTCGGGTCGGAGAATCGCGGCAACCACCGACAGAATTGCAATCGGAGGAGCTAACTTCATCGGTAATATTGCATATGCGTGTCTGTTGTCGCAAAAACTGCGACGAGAATCTCATCTGGGGGAAAAAAAAATTCAAATGTGTTAACGTACATTTAAAACCGTCCGTTGCGTTCTCGTCGTTACAATTATTTCCCTCATATTCGTCGTTGTACGCAACCAGTATACTTACATAAGAGAATTTAGAGATAATACACATGTCTACACACACGCATATTATACGTTCCCTGTTCATTATTGTAATTGGATTCTCTCATTCTTTTTGCATACGCTTTATAATCACATTACACGATCTGTATGTAAGATATTATGAAATTTTACAGATATAGAAAAAAAAAAGAAAAAAAATAGACAAAGTAAAGCAGACAAGATTTCTGCTTACGGCCCTGAATGCTAGTCGGGGCCACCGACCAACCAGACCTGGCTTGTGTCACGTTGTGCACGACGGTATGGTACAGAGGTTCTCATTATCTCTCCCATCGTGTATTTTTTCCTTTTATTTCTCTCTAATTTGATGCAATGTTATTTAATTATAGAAAACTTCGAACACACACATCAGAATCGTCGACTTTGCGAGTAAAAAAACGAAAATTTGATTTCCATGCGAGAATAATATACGAGAGGGATTAACTTTGCGTTCTTTCCTGTCTTCTTTTCATCTTTCTAAGAAAAATCTCAGAAACCTCGAATATACATTTCTCAAGCAAAATTACGTTCTCTGAAAAAGTTTTTCTCAAATCAAACATTATTATCTAATTTAAACCGGCCTCTAATTGACTCAATTGACTGTGAAACACATTCTAACCGAATATGAATTCTAAAATAGTGTATAAATTCTTAAATAGAGTTTCACTCGACTAAAGAAGAGTCAAGTTGATTAAAAGTAGTGATAAGATTGTTAATTCTTGTAGCTGTGTGTGTTAGGTTTTTAAAGCTTCTTCTCTTTTGTTAATCTTTAAGCTGACTTAGACATAAAAGCTTAAATAGACATCGTCGTTAAAACCCCGCAATTAAGAGAGATTACTTTCATATCGACGTCCAAATTAATAGATGACAGTTCAAGGACGTGAGTTTATTAGACCGAAGAATAGTATTTATTGATCCTCTCAACTTGCGGAGCCAAAACGCGTTTCAGCTGTGCTGCAGCACTATCGCGTGTACGGTCCAAGACTGAGAACCCCTAATATAGTGGTCTCGTGTTCGTCAGGAACAAAGGGAATATCGTCGACGTCTCTGGGAACACCACCGTTTGCGGGTCGAAAGTGCGGATGTGTGCGTGAACACAAAGCGGAGAAACAGCACGTATATCGTTCACGTTAACTGACTGGTTTATTAACTTAAGAAATGAGCCTTGTTGTTACAGTTGTGTTTTTAATGAGATGATTGAGAGAATAGCGAGAGAGAACGTTGGAGGAGAAAAACAAATTGAAATTTAACTACATTTCAAATATAGAATCTTAATGACCTATCAACGTCTTTCGTAATGTCAATTAAAGCTTGTATATTACGTATGTAAATTTTTAAGTTCAATTAAACATTTCAGGAAAAGATGTCTGGTAGAAACGAGTCAGTTGGAATTTCAAAAATTGAAAGAATGATCTTTCGAAATCACAATACCCCCCCCCAAAAAAAGTACAAACTCGCAAGACCTGTGACGTAGGATTTTTGCGCTGCAAATTTCTAACTCTAAGCTTGGTAAAGATCAGCGCGAATTTATCACTTTTTTTATTCCATTCATTTTTTCACACGTCACAGCCGTTTCTTTGCTGATTGACCGATATCCCTTTCTCGCGGCCATTTTTCTTCTCCTCGCACATCTTCGACTGGCTCGAAATTTCGAGCGAGTATCGGCACCCCAGAAAATATTAATGGATATACCGTCAGAGGTTGTCGCTCATTGTACGCTTCTCACGAATCAATACCATGACATGGCCGCGTTGTGTCGGTGCACGAGAAGCCAACGAAGCACTCTCGAAAGCGTTGCCCAATCTTTCGCCTAGACATTCTCATTTCGCGATGATTGCTGTTACGAAGACATAGTCTTCGTTCAACGCGCTTTTGACAAGATTTTTGGGAAACTTGAATTAAGTAGAAAAAAAAAAAAAAAATCTCCGAAGATAGACTCCGACGAACATTGTGAAGATAAATGACAATATACGCGTAATTGTCACAGTGTTTTTATAAAAATACATGTATGCCAATTTGTGTACCTCTTCTGAAACAAAAAAAAAACAGGAAAAGTTAATAAAAGTCAAACTACGCTGTTATAAATTACGTATAAAAAAACAAAGCGAGATACAAATGAGACCTCTGCGAGAAACAATTTTTTGAAGCAACGCAAAAATGCAGGAAGAAAAAAAGAAGACGATTAGAAAAGCAAATAAACAAACAAACGCATAAAAAATTTAGTTAAGTAAATATTGAAGCAAGATGCAACGTTTTCTCATCATATTAGACTCAAACTATCAAGTGAGAAATATTTGAAACAGTAGAGACGTAAAATAACATATTTTGAACAATTAGATGGCACAATTAAGGCATAATGATAAAATTAATATTGGCTATATTGTAATGTTCTGTACATTCGTGTTTTGTCACAGAGGCCTTCCCTGTGGTGTTCAGCCCCCGGAACCGGTGCCGGATCCTGACGGCGACAAGCTAGCAACAATCGCAGCACGCTTCAGCTACTTCCAGGAGCGGAGAAACGCGTCGTTATCGGCGGCCGCCATCGTGCCCAAAATCGATTTGCGCAGAAATATCAATCCACCTGCCAGATATAAGAATGCAAGACCTACGGTAAGATTGAGACCCCGCCAAGTGCTCTGCAGCAAGTGTCGCTCGATTTGCAACGAGAACAGCGAGAACGTCGACGTCAGTAGAAAACGGAAACATGAAGAGGTTCAGCAACAATCGCAATCGCAGGTAATGGTTGGCACATTCGAAGTTTTATTCTAATAATAAAGAAGTTTAAAAAATCTTTGAAGAAAAATTCAAAGTCGTAAATTTTTGATATCATTGGGCGTGATAACGTGGATTACAAGTCGAAGGTCTTCTGATAAGACGTTTTAGAAATAGATAAGCGACTTTTAAAAACAGGTGTTTCTTTTCGGTAATGTTACGATTCTTGGATATGGGAATATATCAAGTTATGTTATGGCAAAAGCGAGAAAATAACGAGATTTCTTTGCGATTTTATCAGTTGGCGTCGATTCCCACGAGAAGAAGCGATCGGCGCTGCGGCCAGCAACCGCAGAAAAGTCAACGGACATTGCTTTCGCAATATGGAACGGAGAACTCAGCCGCCAATCAAGCGACGACGAAAACCATGACCTCGAGTTCCGATTCGTCGAAGCTGGGAGCGTCCCTGATCCCAAAACTGTCGAGACTGCAACCTAACGAGATTAGCAACGCGATGCAAGGCCAATTATATGGTATTTTATTCTTTGCTTGTATCACATTTTTCTACGAACTTTTTAATGGCAAAATTGTTACTGCGCATCTTCTTATGTGGAAGTAAAAAGTTTTTGTTTCATATTAAATATCGGACGATTGTATATTCCAGAGAAGGTAAAGAGTTCGACAAACACGCAATCGTCGTACTGGTCTGTTACGAACGATGAAGATTCATCTGTTCAGAGGAACACGCTGACATCGTCGCAGGAGCGGGTGGAGTCCACCGCTGATTGCGATAGCAATTCCTCGACGGCTTACTGTGCCATGCCAAGGAGACTGAGCAGTTCGTCGGTGGAGAGCGCAAAAGTGCCCGAAGAAGAAGACAAAAAGACTTTTGCGGCCGCGGACTCGACAATGAAACTAAGAACCGGTAGAGTGCCCAGAAAGAAGCGCTCGGTAGGCTCGATGGAAGATCTTTGGGACGAATCGGTATTCGAAGATCCTACAAGAACCGCTAGAACAACACCGGTGATCAAAATATCGTATGGCGCGCAAGGCGAAGGAACGGTTCTCAAAATACCCGCGAAACTTCAAGATCCCGACGCGTACGAGCAAGAGACCGACGACGCCGACGATGCCCAGCAGGAGAGAGATCCCTTGGAGTTAACCAGATCTTTCGACAACGATTACGAAGGTGAGGAAGACGGACAAGAACAGGTGGATCCTCAGAAGCAAGGCGGCGTGGTAAAGGACGCTAGCGCGAAAGCAGCGAAACGAGCTCTGAAGAAAGCTAAGAAAGAGGCTAGGAGAAAGATGTTAGGCGGAGTCTCACCAGTGAGATCACCTTGCAACGGATCCCCAAGGTAAAGAATAATTGTGAAAAAATATCTTGATTGTTGCAATGTGTCAATGAATAAAATATATCTGTTGTTTCATTTTATTTAGATACAACACCACGTACGATTCGCTCTCCTATCACCGTCGGAAACACAAGGTAAAGCATAAAAAGAAACACAAGGAGGGCCGAAAGCACAAGAGTCAGCAGCAGCAGGAACAGCAGGAGCAAGTGCAGTCCGAACAGCCCTGTCTGGTCTCCACGGAGCAACAACAGGAGCAAGATTACCGAGCTATCAAGGAGCAGTGTCTGAAACAGAAGCTGTCGATATCACTGAAGAGGCTAAACACAAACGCATACGCACGCTCTGACTATCCCGTGAGCAACGCATCCTCCGGTTGCAAGAGTTCCGGCGGTAGTAGCGACGAGCTGAGCGAACACGAGCCGGAAGTGGAAACTACGCCAGATTTCCCGCCGCATCAATCCCATCCTCTGGTCATGCGTCTAGCCGCCACGCCGGTTGCGCACTGTCTCACGGCCAACGGCAGACGAATGGACGTGGGTGATGTTGTTTGGGGCAAAATTCACGGTTTTCCTTGGTGGCCCGGCAAGGTGAGCAACAAGCAGTTTCGAAAAATCATGTTACTCGAGAATTAAATTATTTTATATACTTAATTTTTATTTCGATTTTTTTAACTTAAAGGTCCTAAGCATCACGGTGTCTTGCAAGGAAGACGGTACCTCGTCCGGTCCTCAGGCTCACGTGGCTTGGTACGGATCATCAACGAGCTCGCTTATGTCCTGCGACCAGTTGAGTCCTTTCCTAGAGACTTTCAAGGTACACTCGTTGAAATGATACAACAATGCGTATTATTCCAAACTGAATAACACAAATTTACAAAACAGTTTCAAATAATAACAAAAAATACTAATTTTATTGTAGACACGGTACAATAAAAAGAAGCGCGGCCCGTACAAAGAGGCGATACGACAGGCCCAGAATGAGGCTCGAAGTCAGATCACGCCTAATTCAACCAGCAGCGTATTGAATGTCTGCGGTTCACCCCGTGAGGTCAATGTCCTCTCCTAAAGGGAAGTTTCTCCTGCAACCATTCCTTTACTGCCGAATATCCGTTGTCGAGATAATTAAAGCGCTTGCAGAAAGACTCTATTTGATAACATCTTCCTATACTTCTTTATACCATGCATTTTTTAACAACATTCTTATTTACACTATTTTTTATTCAAATCTTTTTATATGTACATTTTTTCATGAATTTTTCTTGAAAACAACCGAGAGAACTTAGTTTACGACTTAATAATTCATGAACATGTTTTATCCTGATCTTTTAATCTTTCTTGAACGTTTCAACAGTCGATTTTTATACATTTTTTATATTAATTATTGTCTGTGTAATATTAAATGGAACTTACTCAAAGAGATAATGTCATGTGGGTAGCTAATGTTGACTTGAACTTTCTTTGAGCGCTTGAATTAATGACGGATCAGAATTGTCGTGTAATATACAAATTTTGTACATACCACTTAACGCTAATGACATAGTTACTGATCGATGTTTTGTCAGCCATTTATCTCGCTAAAAATCGCTCGGAACCAGTCGCATCGGCAAACTCGATTATTAACATGTCGATTATTCGACATGTTTGATATTTGCCAAATATGCATATGATAAAAGTTATTTTACTTTTGTTAAAAAAATATTATTAACTCTTAAATTTATTTCCAAAACTTTTTGTGTTTCATGCTCTACGCGCAGAATAATCTCTTGAATTTCACATCACAAAGATGATATCAACATATTTTAGATATTTTCTTCTTTTCGAAAAAACAGCAAACGTTTGAGAGCGATTAACTGATTTCCAGCGATTTGAATCGCGAACGTTTACTGCCATCATCACTGGCTTTTCTGTCCTTGGCTTGTCAAGCGGATGGGGTAGCGCGCGTAAAAAATTTTACTCTACGTATCTTTATATACTAATCGCAAACACCCGTTGTGAGAAAGGTGTTTGGTGTTTTGTTTTGGTTTTTCTTTTTTTTTTTTTTTACGTTGATTGATCTATCAAACATGTCTCAAGCGATGTTGCTCGTAATTATTATCCAAAATTAATAAGTAATTATCTGAAATCTTGCGCAGACTCTATCTCGGAAATTTATAATTTATTTGCAAATTATATAATTTATAATAAGTGATTACAATTATTGTTACTTGTTACGAATAAGTATGCGCTTATTACATATATGTGTGTGTATATATATATATATACACACATATATATGCAATACAAAAAGAACACACACATGTGTATAACATATACGAAAAATATGTGTGTGTGTAATTTATATACATATTATATATATATATATATATATATGTATATCTACATTTTTTATTTTTTTCAAAGTTTTATTTATGGCATTTTCCTCCGCGAAGAAATGACTTGAACTTTTGAAGGATCACGTGTATAAATGATCGACATTAATTCACACAAAATTATTTTTGATGGCTGCCGTCGGGGCATCAAAGTCGCGGATACGACCGCGGACGGACGTGCTGCGCGTGTGTGCTTAGGGACTGTATTTAATAGCGGAAAGTTTTTTATTTTTCCGTCAAAGACAGACAATGTTTACGCTTTGTGCCAACACTGCCGTGTAATTAAACGTTTGATTGTTTGATCTTCGAGCAACGACAATTGTAGAGCGACTTTATACTTAGCATGGGATGAACCTTTTCGATTCCTAAAGAACTATAATTAACTACTCGGAAGCAGAGAGTTTCCTAACGGAAGAGAGAATATACAATGTGGCAAAAAAGATTTTTCATCATTGTAGTTCCGTAGAGAACGTTTTAAAAACAATCAAGATATCACGTGAAATCTATAGGTTTTCTATTCTTACTATTGACTAGCAAAACTCTGAATTGTGTTCTCGCGAAGTAAATGGAAAAAATAATATAAAAAAAAAATAATAATAAAAATAAAAAAAACGTTAAAGGCTTTAACTCGATATCGTGGATTACAGACAAATACAAGTAAAATAGTACTTAAGAAATCCTGATTATTGTTACTTCAATGTTGTGCCACTGCCTGGACACACGATCTTTTTCTATAATTACTTGATTGCGTGTGAGAGAGAGATAGAGGAAGAGGAACTATATTAAAAGAATTAAAATTCACACATGTATGCGTACAGATACACTCTCTCTTGCACGTCAGTTTATTATCAAAGAAAGAAAAATTTTGATTTTGAACCTAAACGCTACTGCGAAAAACATTTTTCGAACGTTCTTTACTTTTATATTAAATTAGACGAGCTTAGAAAACGAAATATTTTTAATTAATTGTGCGAAAGAAACATTTTGCAATTGCGAATCCTGCGATGAGATGATGACCACGAAAAGTCCTATGAAATCGATCGCGACATGTTTTTTACTGTGAGAACTGTAGTTGTGCAAGAAACAAAATGTATAAGAGAGAGACGGAGTGAGAGAGAAAGACGATTGTGTGAATAAGAATGTGAGAGGAGAAGATAATTTAAGTAACTGTGATTTTTTTGCAAATGTCATATATATATGTGTATATATATATATTATATATGCGTACAATATATATTTTTATATATATACATATGTATATACATATATATTATATATATATATATATATATGTACGTTATATACATGAATATGAATTGATTTCTAATATAAACAAATGTTTTTTCTCGATGTGTCGCTGTGTTTATACGTGGATTACGCTAACATATCGTTATCGATAACGATTATTACAATTATGATTATTATTAGTATAGTTATCATTATTCCTCTTATCATTGTTGCGGAGTCTCGAGTGTTGCCGATTTTGTTTGCTGTAAGTATATGAGGATAGATTGTAATATCGTCGATTATATATATAATTAGCGCAATTTTTACTGTCTCGGTAAACAAAACCTGATGAAATGATGCTAATTCGTCGTGCAAGATGGGGGAATGAATTTTATAATTTTTGCATTTTCTTATATTCCGTTAAGATTCGTTCGTGTAAAATCCAGAAAAACTTTGTTATCCGTACTTACGAGGCGCCTTGACGCAATTCGAGCGCCCAGACTGCTTTTTGTTATATTTAATTTTTTCTCCGTCGTGATTGAAGTATAGTATAAATAATATTTACGCATGTGACGGAAGAAAAAAAAAACACTCGTAATTCTGCTAGACCGAATGTTGGTTTCACGCACTGTGCAGTTAGCGCGTTGATTTAGGAATCACAATTGAATGTTAATTTTGCGAAAAAAAAAAACAGTAATGTTGTGATTTGCCGAACTTTCCAGGTAAGCAAATGGTTTAAATAAATCATATCTACCTCAAAAAAAAAAAAATTTTTCTCTTCTTTTTATTATACTTTATATCTATCCTATATTATAGTTTATTATACTTAACATCTCTCCCTTTCCAACTGTGTGTAAATTATACGTGGAAAATACGCAGGGACCTGATTCGCGATTAGGTGTTTTTTTTTTTTTTTTTTTTTCATGAGATGATTTATCACATCGGTGATCAACGTATCAATTCGTTAATTGAGTGAATTGATCGTTGACCGAACTAGTTCTCGGCGCGACCATTGATTCGTGCAATAAAGAGGGGCGCGAAAACGTCGTTCCCATGGGAATACGTCTGATTTCCGGAATATTTGGATACTCAGCGGAATTGGCGAATTTCGACGAGGGGAATTACCTTCCCCGACAGGGCACGCGGATGCGCGCGCACGTGTCGGCGATCAGGCCAGCTTCCTTTGATTTTCCGACGTAGAACCGCGGGGTCGCCGGTCGCCAACCCTCTTTCGTACGCCGCACCCAGCATTGTTGGCGTCGCGATAAGTCGCGGCGCCGACCGTTCCGCGTCGCGGAAACGAAGATGCGTCGCCGGCAGATGTTGCGCGAGACATCAGGTAAATTCAGCAATCAATTCGAAGATGTGAATATCGAAAAAGCACCTGTCGAGTTCAGTTTGATCTCTTGTCGAACTGGCGAATCGTAAAATCCACGAAGGGGAGGACTGTACAATAACCGCAGTGTTTACGAATGAACGTTAGAATAATTGTCGTCAATTATTCGTCGTGCTATACATCTTCGGTTTTGCTATAAGCATTAAAGTGAAGAAGAGGTTTCACCCTTCCTCGGTCGAATATATAATTTTCATAAATTACGTTGACTCGAACTTTGATTAAATTGATCAGCTGCGTTTTTCTCCTCAACTATGTTACGTCTCAAAAATAATTTAAAACCACAGGTAAACCGCAATATTATCTTTTTTTTTTTTTTTAATAAGACTTTAATGTGCGATTTTCGAACGTGTTGGTTGCATTGTATCGAACGGAAATGAGAAAAATACGATTATACAAGTAATGACATATTTTATTGTCAACTTGCTCGTATTGCGAAATGTTTCGTTGAAATTGTAGTAGTGAGTTCACTATTTAATATAAGATAAATTTACATGTAAATATTTACATGTAGATATTTAGAATATACTTGCTGACCTTGTGATTAACGTGTTCGCGTCTATATAGATATATAAAAACTGGTCGTGTGCAATCGTACACTTTGCAGTTTAAGCATGTGTGTGTTTGTGTGTTGTTACTGCTTGATAGTTTGCTTCGATTTTTATTTAGTTTTTTATGTACTGATTTTGCATCACGAGCAACTTATTGTTGCGACGAGCGTACACTCTCAGCTGTACACTATTCAGCTTGTATAACAGAATCCCGTGCGTACGATCGATCGTATGGGACACGACGCGACGTACTCCTGGAAAAGTACTACTCTACGCTTTTCTTGCACCACCCTGTATAGACAAGAAACTATCTCGAGATTTCCGAAAACAAGATAAATCATTAAACCCCTAATCTCTTCCGAGTATTAGCAGAAAGTATTTCGTCGGTTTTCTTTATGAAAACTCTCTAATTAAAGACTACAGATATGTAAAAATTATGTAAAAACAATTTTTTTGGAAAATAAAAATCTTCAAAATTTTTGCAACATCGGAAAAACGACGAAAAAGCAGTTTTGCCGTTTTTTTCCGCAAGTGCATTCGTACTTCGATACTAATTGAAAAAATAATTGCAAATAAAATAATATTCAACTGCACGAACATATTTATTGATATCGCACGATCAAAACCCTGAACGCAGTCTCGAAAGTTCGTGCGTGTGTATATATATGGTGCAATATAAATTTGGTCTCTTCTCGCATCGTCGTTTTTACGTCATCTCTTAAACATCAAGCAAACAGAGGAGATATGGGTCATGAAGATGCTCCGAGTGTAAGCGGGAAATAACGTCAATTCTCACGACGCTCTTTGAGACACTTTTGCCGTCCTCATCTTTTTTCGGACTGTGCTTGTCCTTTCTCGCTCTCACCCCTTTCGCGCGCAAGCTCCGTACATTGGCTGAAAACTGCAGCTGCGCGCACTCCTGCACAGGAGGAGAGCAGGTGCACACCCTCCGTAACTGCAGTTGGCAGTATGCTGCTGTGCGGGTTGCAAATTCCGTCATTAGTTGCAAAATCCGATTTGTAAATGCCGATTACAAAAGTTTCGCGCTCGCCGGTGTGCCATCGCACGTCTCGCTTGTCGCACAGTTGTTTTATCCCTTGTCTGTTGTTCGTTCGCGAATAGAAAGAAATCCGCATTTTCCGATTGAAAATCCAAGGAGCGATGCTCGCTCGCATTATGGGATTCGCTTAGCAGCGACGATTAAAAGGGTTAAAAAGTGGCGTAAGTCAGCGCTTGTACAGTTTCACTGATCGTGTTTCTCGTTGTTGTATTACAATTTGCCGCATCATTTGTGCATCCCGCGATCATCTCTTCGAGCAATATCACCGTGCCTAATTTGCTCCGCACAAACAATATGCAAATTAATCCCCCGATGGAAAATTTCTGCCTTAAGTTCCTCGCTTATTTGCTGCCGATCCAAACACGCGTGTTACTACTGCAGTAAGTTTATGAAAAAGCCCCTGCAGTTTGCTTAGCTTAGCAAAAATCTCTGCGCAACTTTTTTACTTTTAACACACACACGCACACACGCACACATACGCACAGATGTGTAATTGAGGTAATTACAAACTTTTATGCAATAACAATAAATTTATACATATGTATGTTATTCACACTTTACGCGCTATTATCGCAATTACTTCTCTTGAACGAATTAATCATACGCTTGTGTCGTTCAGGAATGTCGTCCAATTTGTGTATTCATAATTGCGGATTATTATACACCGCGGTAACAATTGTAATAATTTCCGCTGTGTTGCATTTTCAGGCGAATTATGATACACGTATCGTCCGAGAGCGCGCATAGATATGATCGAGTGAAGCGCAAAGGCGCGGCTTTCCTCACGAATTTGTTCAAGTCGAGAAAGCTGATAGCAGGAATGAAGATTAACGAGGACGAAGAGATGGAACCCGCGCCCAGAGTGGAAGCTCCCGGTAAGACATCAAACAAATTGATTTTGTTTTTTTTTCGTGTCTCAATTCTTTTTCATTCGTAAAAGATGTAGATAGAACTTTTGACAACACACTCTGCGATAATCTGCGAAAATCTCTTTGTCGTTTTATTCGCTCTTAATTGTTTTGTTTAAAAAATTGAAAAAGTTTACACGCAACGAATTTCTACCAGTAATAAAAAAAAATTATATATAACGCTAGATAATAGTTTAACTAGATAATAGTTTGTACAACCAATGACGCATACTTCAGTTTCGAGAAATTTTAATGCGATACGTAATTGATTGATCTTGTACGCTATTCTGCGTACAACGGCTTTTAACAAAAGCACTTAAAACAACGCGCACACGTGATCGATAACACAAGCGATATTGCTTGCAGCTATTATCACTACCGCGTGTCGTCGCAGCGGTTCGGAAAATGACAATACGATGTCGCGAATTCCCTCGACATTGAGCGTGACAGCGGTGGACGTTGTTGTCTCGTGTCAGCCGTCCCCTTCGCACTCAATTCTGACCTTAACACCCGGTAGAACACGGAACATCGATCAGGACATGGAAGCGCTCAGATTGAGCCGACAGGATAATCCTTTTTTACAGGTTTGGGAGGGGGAAAAACCCGCGATTATTTATTATCACATTCTTTGCGTATCGAAAAATTATATCAATTATATAAATAACAATCTGCGCGATTATAAAATTAATTGTCGAATTATTCAGGTTCTGGCAAGTCGGGAGAGTCTCGTGGAATCGATCGAGGAGTCTGAATCTGACGACGCGATTCTAATGTCGCAGGTAAAAAAAAAAGAAAAAATATCCTAACAAATTTTAAAAGATAGGCGAAGTAGATCGATTTTTTTGCTAATTATTTGACTCGAAATTTGATAGAGTCGAGGCGAAAAATTTGTTTGACGAATCAAATTGATTTTCCACAAAAAACTGCAGCTGCACGTGCGTGTTTTTCACACACAGGAATTGGGTGACGCGGATCCTCTGACATTGGCGCAGGTGCACGAGCATCTGGTACGCAGCCCACCTCCGGCATCGTGGCCCAATTCCACGGCCTTTCAATTTCCACAACAGGATCAAACTGTCATCTCGTCGGCGAAGAACGACGCGGTTTTGCCCGTTAAGAGCCCGTTGAAAACACCCTCGCATCGCAGCATCGAGCAGGAGCTATCCAAGAGCGAGCCGTCGGATATCAGAGGTGAGAGTGATCCAACGCAAAAAGAGTTAATTAGTAAATTAATTACTTACTAGTGCAATTAATAATGAAGATCGAACAAAAAAGAGCTTTGATATATGTCCACCTAAAAGATTTTGTACTCGCAAAAGTGATTGTGTGTGTGTGTGTGTGTGTGTGTGTGTGTACGCGCGCGCGTGTGTGTTCGCATGCGATTGGAATCATTGTAAATTATGCAGGAAGGTGTACGTGTTTATGGAAATGAAATCGATTTCCATCAAAACGACACGAGAAATTTTCTGCATATCTAGATAAAATTATGCTGATGCCGTGTACACCACGTACCGCGGAAATATAGATCAGAGCGTCGGCAAATCGATCCATTTGCGAGAGAGACACTTACGTCTCGACCTTGACATTGCACTTACGGACTCTAGCGATCTTTCTCTCTCTCTCTCTCATATACACATGTACTCTATATACTCTTCTCCTATTTTTACCTCGAAAATACGGTTCCTAAGTAAGCAATCGACAAAACACACTCACTGAATAATTTATGTATAAATATGTATAAATATAACAAATATGCAACTAATGTTTGTCATAATTAACGAAGACCGTATACAGTTTTCACATCGATTTTAAGATCCACCGTTTACTTACAGATCGACATTCCCATACGTTCTCGTTACTACATCCGACGCCGATACGCACGCTGTCGGAAGTTCGACGGCTTCATCGATCGGCCGACGACAACGTGCAGCTCATGTCGAACGAGTAAAAACGGCTCCTCGGATCTTGATTAATGGTTTTTTCTCATCGAAAGATATCGACTCTCAAATCTCGCCCAAGAGCGTCTTTCGAAGAATGGTGATTGTTCGACGAGAGTTCAAGGTCGAGAGGGTTTCTTTCCTCTGAGGAGACGAAGTTGACGATCGATTGCCTCCATCTGCAATTGTCTGTGAGAGAGATTTGTCCTCGTTAGGAAGTTTACTAAAAAAAAAAAAACAAAAAGAAGAAGAATGAGGAAACTATTGAATACTGAGATGGGGTGTGTTTTGACACTCGATCGAAAGAATTGAAGCTTGAAACACTCGAGATGAGATGTGACGAGGAAGAACTCGGAGCAATTGAGATAATACTTTAAAGAGCAATGTGCCTGATTTTCAAGCGCGATTTTCTCTTGCGAAGCAAATTCCGACGAAAACAAACAATAATTTTATTAAAAATTGATTGATTGAATTTAACAAAAAAGAAAGCACTTGCGTGCGAAAGTTCAATAATTTACTAAATTCAATTTTGTAAATGTTTTTAGCTGCAAAAATATGACACTTTTATATGTATGATTTAAACAAATTTTAATTGACGAGCTTGATTGACGTTTAATAATGAGAATGACACAAGCGTATATATGAATAATCCGGAAGAGAGAAGTGTTTACGTTTAACTTTTTGAGAATGAAAGATTTAAAGAATTTAGAGATATGTGAAACATCTCTTGTATGTGCTAGTTTACAAGAGATTTGAGATATATTGCACTATTCTATATATACATATATATATATTTATATATATACATATATATATATATATATATATATAATTATTACTAATTAACAAAGATATTTAAATCGTCAGCTGGGAGAATTTTTAGAGAAATATTTAATATACATTAAGTTTTCAAAAGCTTTAACTTTTGTATAATTTGGAATGTCTTTGAGATTTTTGTCTCGAAGGGAGCAATATATCGTTGTGCAATGATCGTTAGAGCGCACGCATGACGCGTATTAAAAAATTATTATTATTATTATGATTATTATTATTACAATTCTCTCATATAGGTGATAGTGATATCAAAATTTGTTGTTAATAGTTATTGTTGATGCACATGTCTATTAATTATTCATGCAGTTTAAATGTCTATTTCGTGTAGAGAGAGATGTTTCAGAAATATTTTATACTTGTATAAAACTGTCTTTTGCATTATTGAAAATCATAATTATAACAAATCGCAAATTATTTCGATGTCGAACTGTCAGAAATGTTTCTTTTTTTTTTCTGTTGACAAAAAGTGTCTACTTACATTTATATATCTTTTGATAAATTTGAGCACGAAGAAACGCTAGAATGCACAATCAAACAAAAATTTTCCGCGCTCATGTCAGACTCATTTTTTTGAAAATAATTTCAAAAAAGAAGTAATTTAATTTACAGTAAAAAAAAAAAAAAAACGATATACGCAAAGGTAGTAATAACTTCCAGAACAACATACAAGTTTAACGCTGACGTTTTGCCAAATGTACAGGCCTTAATTAACCAATTCCTGATAGATAAATAAACAAAATAGTTATATATATATAAGATCTTTTTTATAGAACACAGCAGTGTGGACAAACTTATTGATAACGATTTACTTGCGACATACTGAAAGTAATTTTTTTTTTTATGATAAAAAAAAAAACGCCGTCAATGAACTTTCAACGAAACGTTTCTTTTTTAGTTTTCTCTTTTTGAGGAAAGATCAATTTTTTGTGTGAGGAACATATGGGTACGTTTAAATGGAATCTGACGTGCTTTCTCTCTCTCTTTTCTCTTCGATTATTTGTAAAAGTTCTTCCAAGACAGTGTGTATAAAATAATGTTTAACTATTAAACAATTAAGTGAATGAATTTATAATCAAATTGTTTCACTTAAAATGTCAATTAACTCTGCTGGTAGAACGGTGTCAAGTCAATTGACATTTTTTGCTGATTTCGCAGATTTCGAACTCATTGCTACGCGTGTTTCGAGACTAAACATTTCGGTGAAATTATTTATGGTATGTTGCGCGTCGTCGTAAGAATAATTCAAGCTTCCTGTAAGCGACAGAGCGTATAAGAAACAAAAAAAAAAAATTGTTCATTGGAGCAATTGTCCTTAGAGCTCGTCAGTTTCTCTTCTGCAGGTTTGTCGAGAGAGATGTTTGATACAAATTTTCGAATACGTTTGAAGAAAAACAGTGTGAACGGGTGGCCACCAGCTTCTCTCTCAAACGCGAACACAGAATTCTGTTCATTTGAAATTCTATTTGTCGAGAGCCAAACACCCATTAAAAATTATTGGTACGAAATTCGTACGTAATTCACACGTGTAATTACTCATATAAAAAAAATATATATGTATAAACGTCATATAAATTAATCTTTAGAACAAATTTCGAATTCGTTTTAAAGGCGAAAAGATGCGAGTTTAAAAAATAACGAGACTATTATTTTACTCTCGTCGAAAAAGTATCTCAAATGTTCGCAATTCTGGGCCACCCCAGCAGCAGCCCCAACGGAAACAATCGATGTAACTTTAGCAGGGTTTTATACGAAAAACTTTGGAGAAACTGTAGTAGAGATTGTAGCTAGAAAGTTTACTCACACCGAGACTTTTAGAGTCCAATAGACTGTCGCGTCTATTGGGAATTGAAATTAATTATATCGTACTTGGTACTTAGGTCGTACATACATACATGTGTGGTTGTGTGCGTATACGATACATGCGTATGTGTATGCACACACACACACACACACATGTACACTCATGTACAAACGTTAGTCCGAAAGCGAGACCGTAAAAGCAAGATAAACGACGGGAGTAATGTAAAAACGGTAGAGAGATTTAATTAATCTAATTAGTCAAGTGTGACAAACACAGATTCCACATGTTCACTCGAGAGAACGTGTTTGTGAGAAGCGTTTGGGGACACTGATGCGTCAGACATCATTTTATATAAAGCTTATTTTTTGTCGCAATGTACACAAGTCGCGCTTACAAAAAGCGAGCGAGAAGATCTAGATCGCGAATTTAATGTGATCTTGTACGTAGGGATGTGCAGCTTGGGGTTTTTGCTTGCGATGTAACGAAATCTCAGACTTAGTGTCGTTTTCTCTTTCCTTTGAAACAACAACTCGGAACCAAAATTCTCGGTATCGAAAAAAAAAAAAAATGGTCGCATAAAGGATCTGCGAATAGATTTTTTTTTTTTTTCAGACGATCCGCGTGACTCGTAACAATCAACGAACTACGTCACCAAAGTGTGTATTGTACCGAGATAACGAGAGTCCGATACGTATATCAGCAATATCTCGCGGGAATGTTGGAGATCCCTACTTGAGAACATACAAGTATTCCGGTAGCAAACACCTTTCCACAGCCAAATGTCGCAAGATAAGATTATCTTGTCACGATGCAACGGCCTACAAAAAAAAAAAAGAAAAAACATTCATGTACTCATCGAGACTTTATTGATTCATGCTGCTACTGATGAAACACACAAACAGTATTTGTATCGAAATATATTTCGCGAAACTTCGAGTTTCATAAAAAGCCGCGCATGTGTTTATCGGAGAAAGAGTTTCACGCACAAATAATATTATCTACCACATTTAGCACAACGTTTTCGTTTATCTTGTTTTCGCAATTTCGTCGTCGTTAACGATATATCCAGATATTTCTGATGATGCAAACACCAATAGAGGAAGTAAAACCAAGAAATGTAATTGGAACACCTCGTGTGACCTCGCAATCATCTCGGTCATATATGTGAGAAAAGTGGAAATAAAAAACAAAAAAAAATACAAATTTCGAAAAACAAAACCACAGAAAAGACTGGAGTACGTTCGAGGAGAAGAACATTTCTTAGCATATAGTTAGAAATAAATCATTAGGAGAGATACTTTTTTTTTGTTGTACCAAGCTTCTTCGCGAAAATTTCTCTTGCGTATATAACATGTTTCGCCATTTGTTCCTACGACCGAAAAAAATCGCATTGCTAACATCAATCAAACAATTGTATCGAAGAAACAGAAACTGTCCAACATACACACACGCACATACACATACACACACACACACACAAACACACACACAGAAAACTCGCAAAGTATGCGTTTGCGGTCGCGTCCTCTCTGTAGGTGTTTATTGTTTTCAAATAAAAATGAAATATATTTGTGTTACTGTAATATATATATATATATATATATATATATATATCTACATTGTGTAATTTATTACCTTACAATCTTACCTCGATTATTTACTATAGCAGATCACGCTCCGTGTAATAAGATCGCGAAAAATACCGGGACAATTCAAAATAAGTTCTTCAAGCGTCCGCCATTTTGTAACTCGCAAATAGAGAATTTTACCTAAATCGGCCAAACACTCGTTCATCAGCGTTCATTACCGAGTGTCTAATTAGGTGTCACGCAAACGCTCGATTTGCTTCGTAATACTCGCGTGGACTACAGATATTAGCGCGCGCGAGACGATAAAAATCGCGAGAAACAATTCCGCTTCGCGTCGCGCGTTCGTCACGACTGCCCGTGCCCGCCGATATCGAGGACGCGAGATATTTCGATTCTCGAAATATCGAATCGCGAGAGATAACCGCGCGCGCGGAACAGAAACCAAATCAATCGGTAAAATAGTATTTTTATTTATTGAAAGTTTGTGCGTGTAATTCGCGCGCACAACACGCGTACATTGTGGCGCTTGCGGGCGTCAACACAAAATGACGAAATGCGCTCTCAAGCATTCTCTGATTAAGGTCTGCATTCATAGTCGTTTCTCAAATCTTAGGTCCAAATTTATAGTCGTTTCTCAAATCTTAGATCTCGTCTCCAAACTCAAAATTCAGCTCTCAGATCTCGAATCTCCAATCTCAAATTTTAGTTGCTAATCATGATATTTAATTTTTCATGACTGAACAAGAATATAGGGCCTTCTACAATAACCGCGGTCCGTTTACTGATTAATCGCGCATTTATCTGTAGTATATATCACGTATACCATACATAAATATGCGCTGAAGCATAAAACAAACCGCAGCCAATAAGATATTAGTAATAAATCAGAAGTCAAAAGCAAAAAATTGACCAATCATAATCAAATGACAGAAGAATAATCAAATGTGATTAGTCACTTTTTTGATTAGGAGTACTCATTTATTACTAATATCTTATTCTAGCAAGCCCTTTAAGTACTTTTATGTGTGAGGGCCTTTATGCGTAATGTGTTATGCAAAAGTGTGTCCAACGGCACACAATCTTTAAGAAAACTTTTTTGTACCTAAGACCATTCTATCTTACAAAAAATAACATTATTTAAATAAAATACTTTTCTTTTCAATATGATGATTTTATCTTAAATAAAATAATTTTATGTTAGGAAAGATGATTTTATCTTAAATAAAACAATTTTATCTTAAAAAAGGTGATTTTATTTTACAAAAATGACTTCATCTTTAAACAGATAATTTTGTTAAGAGATAAAATCATATTTTTAAACTATAATCTTATCTACATAAAAGGGACTGATATAGATATTATTTTCTTATCTAGAGAATATTACAAAATAAAATAAACAAAATTATCTTATTTAAATAATTATCTCATCAAAATAATATTGTCTTACCTAGATAATTATCTTATCTAATTAAAAAAAATGATTTTATCTTAAACAAGATAATTTAATCTTAAAAAATTTATTTGCTACAAGATAAAATTGCTTTTTATTACTTTTAACTTTTATCTTATTTACATAAAAGTATCTGATCTAAATACTATTATATAAATAAAATAAAAGAATCTAAATAATATAAAAGTATATAGATAATTTTATCTAGATAAGATACTTTTATCTAAATAATGTATTATAAAAAAGATAATCTAAATAAGATAAAAATATCTAAATAATTTTATTTAAATAAGATACTTTTTTATATAGATGATATTCTCTGGATAAGATACTTTTATTTAGAAAAAACAATATTATCTAAATACGATATTATTATCTAGATAATAGATAAAATCGTCTAGATAAGATAATGTTATCTAGATAAAAGATAAAATCGTCTAGATAAAATAATGTTATCCAGGGAATAGCTAAAATCGTCTAGATAGGTGAATAGTTATCCAGGCAATAGCTAAAATCGTCTAGATAGGTGACAATTTATCCAGGCAATAGCTAAAATCGTCTAGATAGGTGACAATTTATCCAGGCAATAGCTAAA